AAAGAGAGAGATTTATCTTTTTTATAGTTATAGGCACTTAAAGAAAAATATAAAATATATATTATTAAGTAAGAAATTTTTTGCACATAATGTAGCATATCATAATACAAATATACTCGAACCAACCCTATTAATTACACATGTTGAATACAAAAAATGTGCATAATTGTTAATTACTCCGATCTACCCGCTCGTGCTCATCTCAGACAGTGTACAGTCCAACCACTCCTCACTCTACTAAGGAACACATACTCTCATAGGATACTATTATAAACTCTAATATACACCCAATTAGTCAAATAATGAGGCCATCTAGTTATCAGACATATTACCTTGGCACCATACCGCTGTGGGTAGGTGGTCTAGTAAACTTTGCTCAACGGTCAGTGTTCATACTAATTCATAAAAAAGGCACAAAATCTGCGTTTGATTCTTTCCACATTAAATTCGAAATTTGAAACGGAAAGAGATCTGATTGCTGCATAATTCTTCTTTCACTACAATTCAAAAAAACGCAGAGCTTCAGAAGCTTCAACAACGCAATACAAATTGTAGAATTCAAAATTGTTCTTCATCGTCCTCAGTACTCAAAATTGTCGAACCTATATCTGTTTCTTATCTTTTTTCTCTCAACTACACGAAAATCATGTCAAAAATCCCAATAATGCTAAAATTGAATGGGAATTGGGATAACTATGGCAGATTTAGAGATTTTGAAGTTGATGTCATTGTATTAGATGAGAATGCAGGTTTGTGTAGTTCGAAAATGCTTAGAATTTTAGTTTTATGATATTATCTACAAATTTACTACATATATCTACAATTTTGAATACAAGTTCTTTATTTGGTGCAGGAAAAAAATATTTTAATATACAGTGTCTCCAGATTGTAGATAAATTATAGGCAAATTGTAGTTTACTTGTAGTTTGTAGTTAATTTGTAGATAAATTGTAGATAAATGTAAGATATATTTGTAGATACTATATTTTTTAATATTGGTAAATTTTTTTTCTTTGTGTTTGTTCTGAAAATGTAGGTGAGGGCTTCAACAGATCATATACATACAGTGTTGGATGGTGTGAAGCGGTACATTGTGTGTCTAGAAAACAAGAAATGTAGTTGTGGGCAATTCCCAACTTGAAGAACTTCCATGTGTAAATTGTTTCTAGATTGTAGTTTATAATGTAGGTTAAATGTAGTTAATTTGTAGTTTTTGTAAAATTTTGTAGACAATTTGCAGATTAATTGTGGATAACACATTTCTACGATTGGAGTATTTATTTCTTATT